TTCCGACCAAATAGCTGCCTCTGCGCCCAAAACTTGAGACTTGTAATCGCCAGCAATGTTGTCCAAATCGTTATCATACACCTTCTGCCAGCCAATATATGGTGAACACCAATTGTTGCCACTCTGCACCCAAGCAGGACCACCACAATCAAAATAGAGTGCATCATAATTTGATATTATAACACGATAACCACGTTTTAGAATGTCTTTAATTTTGCTGTCACTTCCCGTAGTCCATATTTGTATGTTGTAGCGTTCCTTATCCAAGTAATTATCGATGTTCGGTACTTCAGTGAGACGACTAGTCCACAGTGTGATGGAGCGTTGTTGCGACTGTGAAATTTTATCGACGCGTTTTAGCGCCTCGGTTTGAAAATGTGCCCAGAGACGTATAAAATCAGATTCTTCTAAGCCCCAACCCTTCTGAAGCATCCAGTCTTGAATGCGCTTGCTACTATTCCAACAATCAACAGATACTTCATCGCCGCCCATATGAAATACATCCGGATCAAAGAGTTCGAACATTTCGCGATATATATCCTCTAAAATTGGATATAAATCTTCAACGGTGGGATCGAATTGACCACACGGTGGCTCCACACAATAATTTTTCCATGGCTGCGCATTGAAACAAGCAATCATATCCTTATGTTGCCAGCCCTCACCGACATGCGCTGGTGCATCGAATTCCGGCATTACTCGTATGCCACGGACACGTCCATATTCAACAATATCCGCAATATCTTCATGACTATAAACCTTACGAGGTGAATAGGCGCCTAATTTATATAGTTCAGGTTGTGATTTAACTTCCAGCGGAAAGCTGTGCGAATCAGTGATGTGCCAGTGGAATGTGTTCAGTTTCACCACGGCCATTGCATCTACAATATAGCAATTTAATTGAAACAGGAATAAAATGTCAACTTCGGTTGTACCGAAGCGTAATACTTCCAAAAAGAAAAGAAAAGTTTCCCTACATGAACTTGATTCCGATTGTTCAGTTCGTATATCAGCTATACGCTATAGGGGCCCGTTATCGGTGGTTCCGACAAATAAGCATTTTCTTGCGGAGAAAAGAACGTGCACAAATTTTCATATCGATAACTCAAACTGAGTGACTAGTTCGGGTAAATAGTACATATGGACAGACAGATAGAACGACGTAGCTAAATCGACTCAGCTCGTCACGCTAGTTATTTATATAGGTGCATATATTTGGTCTCCGAACTTTTCTTCTGRKTTTAACAAACATCGTGACAAACTTAATATACCCTGTTCAGGGTTTATCATGGTTAAAAACACTTACCTAGCGTACGTTTTAATGACTTCACGCTGAAGAAATTACGTGATGTATCTAAAACCAAACCGCGCCACTTGAACGCTGGTTTATCATCAATATGAGCACGAGCCAATATCTGTAACTCACGTCTAATATCGTCGTAAATAAGTACTTGTGATAACGTCTCCAGGCCGTGACGAGCGCCGAAGTAATTGCTTGCTGTAATTGTAGCCGTGGCCGCACTATTATTGCTTGAGCTAATTTGTAGCGTGTAACTTTCGTCTGTGTCTAAAGTTAGCTTAGGTACAACATCATCCAGTGTTGACTGCAATTCCACTGTCACAATTAATGGACGACCACCCTTCTTTAATACATTCTTATTTGGYACGCCTGCGTAGAGMRTTTGCATGAAACGTTCCTTGCTGGCAGCCCAAAGATGTGCTTGCTTGCTTAAGGTGGGCAAAATAAATTGTATGTTGTCTGGATCAACTGTTAACATGTAATTATCGAAATTAACAAGTCCACTTGGACGTGGCCAAATTGTGCCAGGCACACCATCGCCACAGAACAGCCGACAGACTGACAGACTTATGGCCTTCTGGAAGTTCTGCGCATCTAGCTCAACTTTTACACATCTACTCTGCTGACACTCGTAACCGTATATAAGACTGAAATTAATWAATAAATTGTATTGTTACTCTACAGTAAGCTGGCGCAAAGGCCAACAAATATCCTTTATTGTTGCGACAAATACGAGAATACTTACTCATCGCCCGCCGAAAAGGAGCGTTG